TTGATGTCTTTTGATTGGAGCATTTAGTCCATTTACATTTAAAGTTATTATTGATAAGTACTTGTTTGTAGCCATTTCTATTTTTTGTGCCTGTGTTCCTTCTTCCCTTTTTATTTCTTCTTTTTATACCAGTCCCTTTACCATTTCTTGCATTGCTGGCTTGGTAGTGATAAACTCCCTTAGCCTTTTTTTGTCTGTGAAGCTCCTTATTTCCCCTTCAATTTTGAATGATAGCTTTGCTGGATAGAGTATTCTTGGATTCAGTCCCTTGCTTTGCATCACTTCGTAAATTTCCTTCCATTCCTTTCTGGCCTGATGTGTTTCTGTTGAGAAATCATTTGATAATCTAATGGGATATCCCTTGTAGGTTAACTTTCTGTCTCTCTCTTGCAGCCTTTAAGATTCTCTCTTTGTCCTGAACGTTTGCCATGGTAATTATGATGTGTCTTGATGTGGGTCTTTTTGGGTTCATCTTGTTTGGGACTCTCTGTGCTTATGTGACTTTTTTCTTCTTCACATTAGGGAAGTTTTCTGATATTATTTCTTCAAATAGGTTTTCTAACCCTTGTTCCTCTTCCTGTCGTTCTGGCACCCCTATTTTTCATTGCTTTAAAAAAGTTTCTTGGGCCTCCTTGCCTCCTCCCTCCCCCGGACCCTGAAAACCATAGATGTGATTTCTCTACTTACAGTTTTGCCTTTTCAGAATATCATATAAATGGGAACCATTTGAAATCTTGCTCCTGGCGTATGTCATCAGTTTGGCTCACATAAACTCTTATAAATATTTATTCTCTACAGGTTTGGATGTTTCTTACCTTCACATTATACGCTGGAAAGGGCATGGTGATGAAATTGACAAAAGGGTGCAAATGTAAACATGGTTGGAAGAGACTTCTCTAAGGAAATGATATTTAAGCTGAAATGTAATGCATGGAAAGGGCCAAGGGAAGAATATAATGGCAAAAAGAAAATCAGGTACAGAGGACCTGAGCAGAGACTAAATAAGGGTGTGGTAGGCAACACATTGAATGCAGGAACAGATATGAGAAGTGAGTTATATTCTATTTAACCCGACATTAAAGAGATTTGCAGAAATGTAATCAATACCACTACTTTAAGTACATTTTTGTTATTGTTGAAAATATAGTTCTTTTTTAATAAAAATATGTAATGGGTTAAAAAAAAAGAATATCTCAATGGTCTCAAACATGTAGCCTTTCACTTAGTATAATGCTTATCTTCCTTTTTTTAAAGAAAACTTTATTTTGAAATATTTTTAAGTTTACAGAAATGTTGCAAATATAGTACACAGAGTTCCCATGTACTATTTACCCAACTTCCCCTAAGGTTAATATCTGACATAAATTACAGTACAGTGGTCTGAACTAGGACATTTACATCTATTCCGTACTATTAACTAATTTTCAGACTTCATTAAAATTTTGTCAGTTCTCTCACTAAAGATCTTTTTCAAGTTATGAATCCAATCTAGGATATCACATTGCATTTAGTTGTCCTGTTTCTTCCATCTCCAACCTGGGACAAGTCCCCTGTCTTTATCTTTCATAACCTTGATAACGTTTTTAAAGAGTATTAGCCAGTTTTGCTGTAGAATGACCCTCAATAGGGATTTTTCTGATGCTTTCTTATAATTAAATTGAGCAAATGCATTTTTTGGGGAAAATACAACACAAATGAGGTTTTGCCCTCCTCATTGCATCCTACCAGGAAGATACATGAAGTCAGTGTCTTATTACTGGGGGTTCACTTTGACTACTTGGTTAAGATAGTGTCTGCCAGGTTTTTCCACTGCAGGTTACTATTATCTAATTCTTTAAAAATTCATCCATGTTGTTTTACGTATTAGCAGTTGGTTCTTTTATTGCTGGACAGTATTTCATTGCATGGATAGACCACAATTTGTTTACCCATTTATACGTTGATGGCCATTTGAATTGCTTACAGTTTTTGGCCTCGCACTATCTCATAGGCCTTGGTGTTCTATTAAACATAAATAATTTCACAGAACACCTTTATCCTGTTTATTGTCATAAAAATATTTTTTCTGCTTACTTCAGTTCTCAGAATTTACATTCTTATAGAACAGTATTTTAACCAAAAAATGAGAGGCCAATGATTTTCACACCTTTTTAAAAGCAGCTGAACCTGTTTTTCAAATGAATTCTCACATCTAACCCCTTCTAAATCTTCTAAGGCAGATTCTCAAATTTGAGCATCAGAATCACCTGGACACAAATGTGGGCCCCCATCCCCAAAATGTCTGATTCATGGGCCTGGGTGGATCCCAAGACTTTGTATTTCTAATAAAATCTCAGGTGGTTTTGTTGCTATTGGTCTGGGGAACCACACATGAGAACCACTGCTCCAGGGCACGTAGGTGCTCTTGAGAACCAATTGAAAACAGCTGAATACCATGAAGATCTGACATTAAAAATATTGTAAAGGCCTTCATATGTACATATATAATATATATGTACATATATAATGTATATTTGTGAAATACAAGTATTTTCTGATTGTTTCTATTTGTTTTTGTGATTTTTCTGAAGTCCATCTCAAGAATTAATACTATAAAGAAAACCTGATGGGACTTCTCCAGATTGTCCCCTGCCGATTAATTTCCCAACTGTATTGTGGATTGAAGTCTCCAGTTGCCACAGGAACCAAGATTTGCCTAACAATGGCTCGTCCAAGTTCAAGTAGGTCTTTCTTAGCCTGCCATCTCCTCATCTCTAATGGAATTTGAAGTACCTGAAAGTTCCTACACTTTGAGGGGAATGATTATATCGAAGTGGGTGCTGGGCAAGATTTTGGAAGAGGCCATTCTGTCCTTTTCTCCTTAGGCAAGCCCCTTCCAAGACAGGTCAGAGATGATCTCTTAATAGTTAAGGTAAGTCTGTTTAAGACTTTGTTGCTTCTCATAAAATATTTGCACTTACGCCTTTCACACATGATTTGTATTTTAAACCCTTCAGCTCTCTGCAGGAGAGAAAAGCTGATGATTGTCCTACAGGGTAATATTGGATTAAATTTTTTACTGGACAGAAATGATTTGTATCTCTAACCAAACACAGTTTTGGCTGCCTGCAGCAACCAAAGCCAAACTTGTAAGACAGGTGCTGGTGAGAAGGAAAGAGGTTTATTCAAGTGCTGGCAACCTGAAAAGATGGGGGACTCTCATCCCAAAGATCATCTTAACATCTCAGTGGGGGCAGAGGTTTTTATTAGGAAGGAGAGGGAAAGCAGAAGAAAGAAATCAGGGGTAGGTGGGGTTGAAAGTTATCTATATGTAAGTCAGCACAGTCCATTCCCAATGATTATCTTAAAGCTGGTTAAGTGGAGGTCATTTTTATGGTTGAGACTAAGCAAGTCTCCTGGAGCCAGCATGTCCTTCCCTGAAACTAGTTCCTGTAATATGCTCAGAAGGCTGCTAGCAATTTATGGCAGGCATGACAAGCCTGACCTTTGTTTTAAGGCATCCATCCTCTTCCCTGATTTGGGGAAATTATATGTTATTTAATCAAGAAGGTTATTTTGTTGATTAGCATAAGATTTCATGTATCCTCTGTAAATCTCTACCTGACAAAAACCTACAAGTTAACATATCTGGGCCCTTCCTCTGTAGTGGGTATAGAGTTTAACATATTTATATAATAAATGATCCTTGTTAAACAGTTTTTCAATGTGGCATTGAAAGGCCAAGTTGAACTCTTTTTGCCTCATTTTCAACTTTTGGATAACTTTTTCTAATACTACAAGTCTGCTGAATTGTAATAATACTTCCTTCCATTTTTCCCAATCTCAGGAACAATAAAGAGCCCAAATAACCCAGTTCCACTCAGCTGTCCAACCCTTGGTGTTTACAGCTATGCAGGACAGGCTGCTAGAGGCTGTGGTGGGACCCAGAAGCATGTGCTTGACAAAAAGTGGGCCACCTGGGTTGAAACTGCAAAACATGCTGGTGTGTTTTCCTTGATCAGTTAGGAAATGTTGTCTATAACACAGCTTTAACATTATAGCTTACATCCCGTTTTCCAAAAACCAAACCTGAGTTGACTTCTTTATCTGTTTCTAGAAATTGCTTAAAGTGGTACCTTAGTAGAAGTCACTCTGACCTGGGAATGTATTCATCAAAAGGATGACAGACTTTACATTTGAGGTAGAAAAGGCATTCAGAGCAGGGGAAAGTTTTATGGGTGAACTTTGAAGTCCTTAAATATGTTTGTATGGTTCAACTCAGGAGTCATATAAATAGTTACAAGATGCAGTTAGCATTTGTTCTCTCAGGGGATAAATCGGACTACAAACTCTGATCCACCCAGATTAGATATTTTTTTTCAGAAATATTCTTGGTTGGACAGCTTTAGCAGGCCTTATTTTTCACATCAGTCCATTTCTGAAAGGTATGTGAGGGTAGGCAGAGTGTTAACATGGCTGGCAGGTAGTTGGGCTGGTTATACCTAAAGGCAACAATGTGCCTGAGCCATCTTCATTCCTTTGAGCCTTGCTGCGAGAAAAGTGATCCCAGAGAGCTCCAGGAATGTGGCCAGCAGGGAGCTGGAGCCTCTGCTTTTCTGTTTCTGAAACCAGTTCCATCTCTTAGTGTGTGCTCAGTCAGCCCAAGGGTTAACCTTGGTTGCCATTGGAAGACCAGAAAGTCCACTCCATCAGCTGTGGGACTCACTTCCATTTTTTGCTGAATTTTTCTGTTAGCACAGGTTGGCCACTCCTAGATGTCTGCTTCGTGGCCCAGGCCAGCCCCAGGCAATGCTGGTCTGGCACTCGATTTTCCAGGTAGAGGGCAGAGAGGGAGTCTCACTTCTCCCTGAAGTTTATGCTCAGCTCTATACGGCTTACATCTGGCCTGCTGGAGCTAAGCACTTACCCCTCGCATGAGGGCCTGCAGAGCTGCAGTGTCTGTGAGAGAAGGGTGTTGCTCTCAGCCATATGCTGGGTCCTGACCTAATCTCTACCACCCAAGAGACACAGTGGCACTGTCAAGTCTGGCTCCTTGTTCTTATCCTGGGATGAGGACATTCTCTTCAGGGGCAAAATCATCTTGTGACCCATGTAAAGTGCTTGGCACAGCCTGGGGTGCAGTGAGCCCTCACTCAGTAATGGCTACTGCCTGTGTTGGTTTGAGATCAGGGTAGACTGCCTGGAGGTGCAGAGCAAGGCCTTTGATCTAGAGGGCAAACCATGGCCTGTGACTATGATTACGCGCTGCTGTGTTATTCTCTATGTTCAATTCCCTTTTGTTACTCCAAGTCTCTGATGACATCTTGTTGAAAAGTCTAGCATTTATTAGAGCCGTAAAGGAAAAAGTCATGTGTCTAGGTTTAGGGCACAGCATTTGTTCACAGGGGAGAGGCCCTCATCCTGACCTTTGGTAGTGATCCTGAAAGAAGCTGTGTGTGTGTGTGTGTGTGTGTGTGTGCGCGCACACACACACACACACACACACACAGCTTGTCTTTACATTCATGAGGGAAGTTGCATTCCTATCCATTCTGGTACCAAGAACCTTCTGGAAATCCATGGTGAGAACTCCCAGCCTCACACGGGGAGGGGAACTAGACTTGAAAGCATATGTCCTGCCATTTTCCACCTGGACTCACTGACAGAACCTGCATTTTGACAACACACCCAGGTGTCTGGTGTGTGCCTGTTACCCCGCGAAAGCGCTAGTCTGCACAGCTGTGTGCGTGCCCCTCCCTGAGCAGCTCTTGAGGGGATTGTGCTAGAGACAACTGCCCAGCTGAGCTGAAGGGAACCAGGAGGGGTGGGCCATTGGACAGGTGGCTTTAGCAGGATCTGGCATGGGGGGCCTTGCTATGAGCCCAGGAATCAGGGGATGGGGCTCAGATGGTATCAGGAGGAACTTACAGAGGGTGGTCAGTCAGGTCAGAGCAGCTGATTTTGTGGGGAAGCAATAGATTACGTTTGACTCCAGCTGTGTTCCCAGGACACATACAGGGTGGGGCACAAAAGTAGGCTTACAGTTGTGAGCTCATAGCAGCCCTGTCCTGGGGAGGACAGTATTGTGCACATTAAATTGCGAAGGGAGCCCAGGATAGCAGAAGGTCAGTGATTCACAGAAGATCTCACACATGGGTGGAGGTGGAGCTGAGATTCAGAGCCAGTGCTGTGTGCCTGAAGGCCCTGCTTCTTTCTTAAGATGTTGTACATTCACACATCAAGGGCATAGATAGCATTTTCATGATACAGGAATGATTTTTATTTGAGTATCTTAAAGTATAATGTCACACAAGGTCAAGTTTCAAAATATAGATATCTCCTGCTTTTCCAAAATTTGCTCTACACCAGCGGTCGCCAACCGGTGGTCCGTGAGGTCCAAAAGGTTGGCGACCGCTGATCTACACCACTTCACTATTACAAAAAACTAAATTAGTATCTGTTTTCGCTAACCAAAAGAAACTGAAGAGGATTTTGCATTGAAAAAAGGTTTAAAACAAAAATAGCATTCAGCATTAGTTTTGCAGCGAGTTACAGAGACAGGGCACACCCCAGCAGCAAGAGTGGCCCCCCCCCCCCCAAGCTCCTTCTCTGGAAGCTACATTCAGCATCAAGCACTACAGCTTTGAACTGTGTCTGTGAGCATCTGTGCTTTTCTCCATTTATTTTGTGCATCCATTAGCAAAACGTGCCCTAAGGTAGTTGCTTCTCTGCTTTATGCAAGTTTTCATAAGAAACACTCTACTTTCGGAGAGCAGGGGAACCCTAGGCAGATGATTGGTATGGGATATAAATATCCAAATGGTGCACTGGATTGATAAAGATTTTATTCTCTCTTTAGGTATGGCCGATTTTCGGAAACTTTTTGCAAAAGCAAACCACATAGTCATCATTTCAGGGGCTGGTATTAGTGCTGAAAGTGGGATTCCAACTTTCAGAGGAGCCGGAGGTTATTGGAGGAAATGGCAAGCTCAGGTTAGTAGTGTTTCCAGAATATTAAGAGGCTGTTCTGAATGAGGCCATAACAGAGTTTGACTCAGAACCTAATGATGGCTGAGACCCAGAGAGCAAAGTTTTGAAATTGCAGTGACTCTTGTCCTGTTCATTTTGGCATCGACACAATGTCCATATGATTAAGATCTGAGATTTAAGCAAAGCAGCCACTTCCCTTATTTTTTAGGTATGTATAATTTGCATTTTTTCAGATAAAAAAAGTAGAATCAGAAAACCTTGATTAGCATAATTCATTACTATAGATATTGAAATTAAGTATTACACATTTTTAAAGTTTCTGTGAACTTTTCATATTAACATTAAAGTTGAATTCTTGAAGACCTAGAGCTTAATATTCAAAACTTTATATGAAGGCCATTAGAAATTAAGTTCTTTGGGGGCGTGGATTTTTTAAAAAAAATTTATTGAGGTATATTAGCCATACAATAAAATTCACCAATTTTAAGTATACAATTCAATAACTTCTAACAAGAGTATACAGAGTGTAGCTACCACCAAGATTACATGTGGAACATTTCTGTACCCGGGATTATTCCCTCAAGGCCCTTTGCAGTCAGTCTCCTCCACTCCCCCAGGCAATCCCTAATTTTGAGGGCAGGGAATTTTGTCTGTTTCATTCATTGTTCCTTCCCCAGCTCTGAGAACTCTGGAACAATGTAAGTGCTTAATAGATGTTTCTTGGTTGAATGAAAGCAATCATAAATAATTACTTCAATACTTGACTTCCAAATTTAGCAGGTGATTTCTTATTGAGTGAAGGGTTAATGAACCTGCCCTTCTTTCCTGAATGAAAGGTCTCAGGATGGCAAATGTTTAGGACAAGCATGTCAAACTTGCCGCCCGTGGGCCGCATGTGACCCACAACGAATATTTTTGGGGCCCAGCCAATGTAATGGTATGTAAGAAACGTTTTAATAAAAATTTCGTTACTTAATTTTTACAATATCCCGTTATACATAATTATTAATAACTACAACATTTGCTAATGACTGATTATTATAATCATGTTGCATTCATTTCTTTACGCACCTTGCGTGCCTTATGCGCCTTACGCACAAGTGCACCATTTCTCTCCACTAATACTAGCAGCAAATATTTTAGCTGCCGATTGCCATGTCATTAGTCTTGTACTGACTTGTTTGGTGTGAAAAACAGGAAGTATTTCACTTTCAGAGAACAAGAAAAATGGGTTTATTTGTGTTATGCTTATTAATTTGTGCACTTATTCAGTGTCTGGTAAGTTAATGTTCAAGAAAAAATATTAATTTTTATTAAAATGTTCTATTATTTTATGTTAACAATCACTCATTTATTTCAGCCCTTTGTATTCAGCTTGTCTCTATAGAAATAAACCTATGTTTCTATGAAAATTGAAGTTTTTGTTTTTTTGAGGCCCACATAAACTTGCTCCTTGTTTACTTGGCCCATGTTAGCCTTTGAGTTTGACATGCTTGGTTTAGGACAGTGGTCGGCAAACTCATTAGTCAACAGAGCCAAATATCAACAGTACAAAGATTGAAATTTCTTTTGAGAGCCAAATTTTTTAAACTTAAACTATATAGGTAGGTACATTGTTATTAACTTAATTAGGGTACTCCTAAGGCTTAGGAAGAGCCACACTCAAGGGGCCAAAGAGCCGCATGTGGCTCGCGAGCCGCAGTTTGCCGACCACGGGTTTAGGATGTTCTGTCACCTTTCTGCTGCCCTCCAGGTAAAGCCTGGGGATGTAGACATGGCATCATCACCTTAAAGGTGAAGGAAAGAAGGAAGAGTGAGGGCCATTAGGGTCCCACAAGAAAAAGGAGCCACAGAGAGCCTCCCCTGTTTAGAGAATCAGGGGATGGGGCTCAGATGTTGTCAGGAGGAACTTACAGAGGGTGGTCAGTCAGGTCAGAGCAGTTACGTTTGACTCCAGCTGTGTTCCCAGGACACATACAGGGTGGGGCACAAAAGTAGGCTTACAGTTGTGAGTTCACGAAGCACAGTTTATTCTTGTTTTATTAATTAATTACTGTAAATCCACTTTTGCCCACCCCTGTATATTCAGGTTCATGTGCTCCAGGCCACTTGTGCTCTAAGTAGAGGGCAGGAAGGAAGGAAGTACAGGGTTGAAATGGATAATCCACAGCGTAGATGATCCACTCCCCAAATGAAGGCTGACATGGCTACCAGGCAGTTAGGGACCTTTACAGTAAAATAAAATGCATGATACCACCACTGCCACCACGGAGATACAGAATACTTTGGTCATTGCCAAGGTTCCCTTGTATATTTCCTGTCAGCTTCCAGCCCTAGACAACTACTTCTCTGCTGTCTGTTCACTGTAGATGAGATTTGTCTGTCCTAGAAGAGGCATTACACCTTAAAATACATATTCTTCTATGTTTTGTTAATATAATGTGTATGGTGAGTGTGTAACTGTAAGTGATAAAAACTGAGTTTCTCAACTATGGCCATTATACTTCAATTGAACATTTTACATTTCACTTTTTTTCCTGGACAAGTGATACTGACTCCATACATTTTGGTACTCCAACCTAAATTATCTTCTTGCATATTACTTTACCTCATGTTCATAACTTCCTTGAGGGTCAAATGGGACAGGTTGTATTTTCTCTGAGTTATAATTGGGGAAATTAAAACCAATTTCTCCGTGGTCCCTTGTTAGTCCCAGGATTGGGACACAGGCTGGTGCCCAGGCCCCTGCCCTGTGTCTGCCATGCTGCACGAACCTAAGCAGACGTGTGCCAGCTTGCACCCTCCCAGAGCTGCCTGCCCATTGTAGGGAAAGAGGGGCCTGCCAGTGTTTGCTGCCACTGCCCCCGCACTCCAAGGTTCCCTTCGCGCCCCGCTGCCTGTGCTCTGGATGGAGCATGAGCGCTCTTTTCCTCCCTGACTCCTGCCCCCTCTCACCCCCAGACCCTGGCCACTCCTGAGGCCTTTGCCCAAAACCCGTCCCTGGTGTGGGAGTTCTACCACTACCGGAGGGAAGTCATACTGCGCGTGAAGCCAAACCCCGGGCACCTCGCCATCGCTGAGTGTGAGGCCCGGCTGCGTGAGCAGGGCCGCCGGGTCATGGTCATCACCCAAAACATCGATGAGCTGCACCGCAAGGCTGGTACCAAGAACCTTCTGGAAATCCATGGTGAGAACTCCCAGCCTCACACGGGGAGGGGAACTAGACTTGAAAGCATATGTCCTGCCATTTTCCACCTGGACTCACTGACAGAACCTGCATTTTGACAACACACCCAGGTGTCTGGTGTGCGCCTGTTACACCGCGAAAGCGCTAGTCTGCACAGCTGCGTGCGTGCCCCTCCCTGAGCAGCTCTTGAGGGGGTTGTGCTAGAGACAACTGCCCAGCTGGGCTGAAGGGAACCAGGAGGGGTGGGCCATTGGACAGGTGGCTTTAGCAGGATCTGGCATGGGGGGCCTTGGCATTCCTGGGGCATCTATTTACTTTCCCTTTGTCCCACTTGGTACTGTCTGCTGAGGCTGTGCTTCTGCTAAGCCCTCCAGCCCTTAGGGAGCTACCCGCTCAGCGACCTTCACTGAATCAAGCCCACCAAGTTGTGACACACATAGGTTTTGTCTTAGGTCCCTCTGGCTTTCCCTCTCTTCCCTGACGACAGCCTCCTTTCCCCCTCTTGTCTTCTTACTCCTTTCCCCTCTTTGATCTCATCAAAAATCTTATAAACCCATTCATACAAGAGCATCAATGGGCAAGCAAGGATTTTTCCCCCAAGGACATTTGCATTTATGAGTCTACAAAACTTTAATTCCAAGTGATCCATTTCTAATAGTGGCTTTTCCAGGAACAGTGAGCCAATGGGGATGGTGCTTGTGTGCGTACGCGGTGAGGTTGCCCATTTTTGCCTAGGCTTATGGTCACCCTGATAATGAGAGTTGAGCACTGTGCGCTTGGATCCTATCCCTCTTTTGTGTCCTAACAGTGTCAGCCACCTACTAACTGAAGTCTTTTTGGCACCTTCTTCTGTTGGATCTAGGACACTTTCCACATGGCTCTTCTCGTTTCTCTGCAGTGTCAGATTGGAGGCTGTCACTTGCCATGTAGAATGTATAAAATCGGAATCCAGTTATTTTAAGCATTAAATAAGATAATATATACATATTAGTTGGGACTTTTTTGTTTGCAAGTGATGAGAACTCTCTTCAAATTCAGGTAAAAACAAAAGGAAGCCCTTTCTTTCATCAAATTGAAGATGCAACATGTTTTTAATGTGATACTTAGAAAGAAAATAATCTGCCCAAACCATGATATCTTATTTTATTACTCCTTAGAATTCACTATTTTATACAAATAGAAAGGGCTTGTTAAAAGTTATTTAGATACATATTTTTAGAAACTATCACTCTCATGCATATAAAAAACAAAACATGGGTAAAATAGAGTGGTTAAGATATTTCTTCTGAATGACTTCTGAAGGTCTCCGAGGTGTCAGTGACTGTGTTTTCCACAGTGTGTGGGATCGGTGATGCAGCATTTCCTAAAGAGGGATCCTCTCTTATCTCTGCATTTCCCTCCCAAGCTGCTGACACACATTCTGCAGGTTTGACGTTGGCCTTTCTTGATCTTACCAAAAGGTGTGAGTGGAAGGGTTCTAGATGACAACCAGGACTCATTTTTCTTCCCCAAATGGACCTTAACTGGTTTGTTGGCTGAAATATGCAGAGGCTGCCTTTGTCCAGTCAGGACACATGTCAGTCATTGGTGTAATCCTTCAACAAGTCTGTGCAAGTGCTGGCTATGGCAACCACATCACACCTGTCATGTGGCCAGTGGCAGTTACAGGACGCGTCTGAACTTCAGAGATGTTAACGGGAAAGTAGCCACGCTAAAACTGACAAAATAGGTACGTTGGTTGGCAACACTGAGGAGCCTGGGAGAAGCTGACGTCAGCAGCAGGCTCACTGTCTTTCTCTCCCTGCCTCTCTGCCTTTCCTTCCCTCAACTTTGCTCACTCAGAGTTACTTTACCTCTCCCTCTGTAGTTGATCGCCTACATGTGCCAGCAAAGTAACGTCTGGCAGCTCCAGGCTCACTCTAACTTAGCTCTCTCCTCAGAAAACAAACCTCGGGGAGCCTTGATTGGGTCACTTACCTGCTTTTAACCAAACACTATCACTAGAGGGATGGGGTACTGGGATTGGACCAGTCTGAAACGTGTATCCAAGCTTGTATTTTAGGATGTGATTGACACCTTCATCAGCTTGGCATGGGATAGAGGAGAGATGGGTCCTCAACCAAGTGACACTGGACAATGGAACAATGTGTATCCACCACAGTGTGTGTGACATGCTCAGCACAGCACTGGGCACATGACAATATGTAGTGAATTGTGGTCACCATTATTGGGTGAGCTCAACAAATGGTTGCTAGTTTTAGCAGTTATTTTCTTCATTTATTAGTTTATTAATTATTGATTGATCTGGTTTTAGATAAAATATTCAAGCTTTATTAATTTAAAATTAAGATTTTTAAACACATCCCAAGCTACTGAACCTTTATCAATCATGTACTTAGTAAATCATGCCCTTAGTTGGTTGGCTTCATCTATCCTATTGATCAGTTCAGGCCTACCTGAGCATCACTCCGAGTAATGTGAGAGCTCCTTAGTCATGAATGATTATTTCATCTGTCTCTCTTCCCTCTAAGAGTACAAAGTCCAGGAGGACAGATGCTCCTGGCTTGTTCAATAATACTGCATGCCTTTACATTTCCCATGATGCCTAGGGTAGGCCCATTTGCTAAAATGAACATATAAAAACTAAGTGATTTTGTACCCTTTTGGACATGGAGACAGTTGCTCTTGATGATATTATTTCTGGTCTTGCTTGACTTATGTTTTTCAGGTAGCATATTCAAAACTCAATGCACTTCTTGTGGGGCTGTGGCTGAGAATTACAAGAGTCCAATTTGTGAAGCTTTTGCAGGAAAAGGGTAATTATGCTGTACTATAGAATGAGCGTGTGTTGTTTTCTCTTTTAAATTGAACATAAATGTGAGGAAATGAAACATTAAGATTTGCATGGATATTTATAAAAAATAGGATCCAATACATTATACCATATTATAAAAGAAATATTTTGCTCTCAATTTATAATATTAAGTGAAAACCACAGGATCTAACTCTATACAGTTTGATCCCAACTTTGTATTTTTTTTTAATCCTCACCCAAGAAATGAGGATATTTTTTCATTGATTTTAGAGAGTGAAAGGGAGGAGGAAAGATGAGAGAGAGAGAGAGTGAGGGAAAAGAGAGAGAGGGAAATATCAACATGACAGAGATATATCGATTGGTTGTCTCCCACATGTGCCCCAGCAGGGTGGGGATCAGACCTGCAACCCAGGTACAAGCCTTTGAGTGCCGTTAATAAGGAATGGAACCTGTGGCCCTCGGTGCTCAGGCTTACACTCTAACCACTGAGCCATGCCAGTCAGGGCCCAACTTTGTATTTAAACTCTCTCTCTCTCTCTCTCTCTCTCTCTCTCTCTCTCTCTCTCTTCCTCTTTCTCTCTCTCTCTCTCTTTCTCCTCCCATGTTGATGTATTTGTGTATAGATGACAGACCTAAAGAAAGCACAGCAAAATTTTAACAGCAATTATCAGGAGTGGTGGGATGATAGGTAATTGTGATTTCTGCTTTATATCTTTTTGAATTTTTCAACATTTCTATGATGAATGTGTACTATTATGGTAGTTAGGGAAAGAAATTAAGAGTAGACTCAGAATATTGAGAAAAATTCTACCTGATCATTTTAAATCAGTATAAAGTATACAAGAAATATATTAACATAATGTCGAAGAAGATTCAAATGATAACATATAAGATGTAAGTCACGAAACTCCCCCATTAGCGCATATGGCTGCTTTTCATCCTCCCCACATACAAATTTCCTCTTGAGGTAAAACCACTAGTAATTAGTTGGTGTCCATTCTTTGAGTAGCTCATGTATTAATTAGGAGTTTTGTACCATACCCTGCTATGCAAATATACATACTTATTGGGTTATGTTATTCCTTTGTTCTTTGATGATACCAATGACATTTTCTCTTTTCTAATATTGTTTATTCAGTGCTCCAGAACCCGAAACACAAGATGCCAGAATCCCATTGGAGAAACTTCCCCGGTGGGTAAAATCTTTAATCTATACTTGGTGTTGCAGGTTGCAAGAAAAGAAAATTAGGAATCAAAATCCAAGTTCATTTGGTGAGATGCCTCTTAAATCCTCAAATGTAAATACCAGCCCTGACCTATGAGGCCAAGGGCAGAAATAGAGAGGATGAAGCAAACCTGTGGAAAGAGAACTGCTTTTCAATCCTTCTTGCTTTTCATTAGTTACTGTCATCTTCATCCTCTTCCTCCTCATCAGTGTTATTAATGTTATTAATCCAGGTTTATGGAGACAGTAAAAGGTCTTGCAAAAATGAAATTATAGGACCAAAACGTTGTAGATTTTTTAAAAAACGTAGAAAGATTTTTGTCAAGTTTTCAAAGCCAGATATTAAAATAGCACTTCCAAAAGTGTTTCAGCGAGCACTATATCCATGTGATGTTCATAGGCATTGCTTGAAAAAACGATGTTATGTGCTCAGATCACACTAGATTAAACCAAGTCAGAGTATGTTTGCTTTACTGTAGGACTTCTCAGAACATTTCATATGCTAAAGTACATTGTTACTCTCTAAAAAGTTGTTACAATATGCTAATATTTCACTGGTTTATTTGACCACAGAACCCTTTTTATTTTTCTTAATAAGGCTTTTCATTACTAAATGCTAAAGTTTCTATCTGAAAGAACAGGGAATCCTGAGGGGTTCCTGGGTAGGACATTAATATGATGAAAACTATGTTTGGGGGAGGTTATTTTAGAAGGTAGAATAAAATGACTAAGAGAGAGTGGGGAGGAAATGGTGACAGATTTCTAGTAATTGATACTGGAGAACTTGACTATAGACAGGACCAGAGAGAGGCGAATCTCCGAGAAAATAAAAGGAGGTCATTGATGAAGTTAGGGGATGATTGGGGTGTCTGAGACAAATCTTAGTCCAGTGTGTCCTCCCAGGCCTGGGTCACTGAGCAGAGTCATGCCCATGAGGGTGATGAAGTCACTGTGAAAGAGAAAACTGTTTAAAGAGAAGGTCAAGCTTGGCTGAAACACATTTGTCTCTAAATCAACCCAATGCATTCAGACAAAATAGAAACTTTATAAGGCAGTTAAAGTTAGTGCTTCATATTCAAGACAAGCTCCTATGGGCTGGGAGAGCAGGGATGGTGATCAGAGGATGAGGTGACCTATCTGGATAGACTGGATTTGGGGCAGCCCCTGGTCTTCCTCCGACCCACCTGGCAGACCTTCAGGCAAGGTTGAGTTAAGGCTGATGTTTTTACAGGTGTGAAGAGGCAGGGTGCGGGGGCCTGCTGCGACCTTATGTAGTGTGGTTTGGAGAAAACCTGGACTCTGCCATTCTGGAGGAGGTTGACAAAGAGCTGACCCTCTGTGACTTATGTCTAGTGGTAGGTTTCGTTCTTACCTGATTGTGGGGATTTTCTGAAACACCAGGACTGGGGTGGAGATTAATGTTGTTCCCTCCCTCCCATCCTCCCACCCTCCCTCCCTTCCTTCCTTCTTCCCTCCCTCCCTTCCTTTCTCCCTCCCTCCATTCCTTCCTCCCTTCCTACTTTCCTTCCTTCTTTCCTTCTCTTAAGATGTGTTTTGAGAGTTGTGGTGTTCTACATAAAAACTAAAAAAACAGTGAATAAGAATTTATCTTAAAATACAAAACAATGCAAGACCATGTCTTCGGCTTCTCAAATCCTTTTCTCCCCACAAAAAATATCATAAAAAGAGCATGTTATTGGTTCTAATTTTTAAAATAATACATGCTCATTATTAAATTTAATTGAGAAAACACAAAAAGAAGAAATTAAAAATCCGATAATTCTACCATACAAAAATAATCAGTTAGCATTTTAGTATGTTTTCTTCTAGACCCGGGATGAGCAAACTGTGGCCTATGGGCCAAATCTGACCTGCCACCTGTTTTTGTAAATAAAGTTTTATTGGAACATAGCCATGCCCTTTATTCTTTGTATAGTCTATAGTTACTTTCACACTACATTGGCAGAGCTGAATGTTTGCAACAGAGACCATGTGGCCTATAAAACCTAAAAAAAAAACAGCAGTATTTGGTCTTTTACAGAAAAAAGTTTGCACACCCCTGGTCTAGACCTTTCCACATGCAGATGTACACATATTGATTAAAATTTTTAAAAATGTGTTCATACTCCCAAAACACTAATTAGAAAGAATATATGCACCCTATGTTAATTGCAGCCTTATTTAAAATAGTGAAGATATGGAAGCAACCCAAGTGTCAATCAATAAATGAGTGGATAAGAAAGATGTGGTACATATATACAATGGATTACTACTCAGCCATGAAAAGAATGAAATCTTACCATTTGTGACAGCACTGATGGACCTAGAGGGTATTGGGCTAAGTGAAATAAGTCAGACAGAGAAAAACAAATACTATATGATTTCACTTACATGTGGAATCTAAAGAACAAAATAAATGAACCAAAAAAAATTGAAACAGACTTAGAGATAGAGAACAGACTGATGGTTGCCAGAGGGGACTTGATTAGGGGACTGGGTGAAAAAGGTGAAGGAATGGATAAGTACTAATTGGAAGTTATAAAACAGTCCTAGGGATGTAAATTATAGCTTAGGGAATCTAGTCAATAATCTACTCTAATAAAAGACAAACACGCAAGTTGACTGTACTTTCGCTACACCTTAAGCCACGCCCACCAGCCAATCAGAGCGACTATATGCAAATTAACCCAAACAAGATGGTGGCTGGCAGCCACAGAGTTGGAGTAAGCAGGAGGCTTGGTTGCTCCAATGATGGAGGAATCCAAGCTTCCCGTGGTGGCTCTGAGCTCCACTCAGAGCAACAAAGTTTCAATTATAGAAGGTAAATAAATCTCAGAAAAAAAAAAAAAAAAAAGGAGAGGCTGGGAGCTTCCGTCGCCGGGGGGGCTTGGCCAGCCTGAAAATGGCCCTCAGCCCCTCACTGAGACTGGCCAGGCACCCCAGTGGGGACCCCCACCCTAAAGGGGGTGTGGCCAGCCTGAAAACAGCCATCAGCCCCTCACCCAGGCTGGCCAAACCTCCATGGGGTGAGGGTCCCCACTGTGGGGGGCTTGACCAGCCTGCAAACAGCCATCAGCCCCTCATCCAGGCTGGCCAGGCACCCCAGTGGGACCCCCACCCTGATCTGGGACACCCTTCAGGGCAAACCAGCCGGCTCCCACCCATGCACCAGGCCTCTATCCTATATAATAAAAGGGTAAATATGCAAACTGACCCTAACAGCAGAACGACTGGGAATGACTGGTCACTATGAAACACACTGCCCACTAGGGGGCAGATGCTCAATGCAAGAGCTGCCCCCTAGTGGTCAATGTGCTCCCACAGGGGGAGTTCTGCTCAGCCACAAGCCAGGCTGATGGCTGCCAGTACAGCAGTGGTGGTGGGAGCCTCTCCTGCCTCCTCAGCAGTGCTAAGGATGTCCGACTGCAGCTTAGGCCTGCTCCCTGCTGGCAAGTGGACATCCCCCGAGGGCTCCCGGGCTGCCAGAGGGATGTCTGACTGCCAGCTTAGGCCCAATCCCCCCGGGGAGTGGGCCTAAGCCAGTAGGTGGTCATCCCCCGAGGGGTCCCAGACTGCGAGAGGGCACAGGCCGGGCTGAGGGACCCCCGCGCCACCGAGTGCACAAATTTTTGTGCACCGGGCCTCTAGTCTATAATAATGAAAGCATAATATGCTAATTAGACCTTCCAGACGAAGCTGTGGCGGCGGGGCCAAGGCAGAAGCGGCCACCACGGCAGCAGGGGCCAAGCCCCTTGCACGAATTTTGTGCATCGGGCCTCTAGTATTGTAATAACTATGTATGATGTTAGGTGGGTACTGGAAATACTGGGGGAAGCACTTTGTAAAGAATATGATAGTTAACTGCTATGCTGTACACCTGAAACCAATATAAAATAATATTGGTGTAAATGGTAATTTAAAAATTTTTTAAATGGGTCCATATATGTTCTTTTTTGAAACTATTTTATTCATGTAGCAATTCACTTAGCATATTCCATGTCAGTGCATCATCTTTTAATTGGCTATGCAGTGTTCTGGTGTATGCATTTAACCAATTCTGTATTGTTGGACGTTCAGGCTGTTTCAAATTTTGATATTTTAAACAACGTTGTAGTGAATAGCCTTAGACATAACTCTTTTAAAAAAATGTATTGATTAATTTTTAGAGAGAGAAACATCGATGTGATATTCCACTTTTATTTATGCATTAATTGGTTGCTTCTTTTATGTGTCCTGTGGGTGGATCGAACCTGCAATCTTGGCATACCAGGATGATGCTGTAACCAACTAAGCTACCTGGCCAGGGCCTCAGACATAACTTTTAACATGCTCATCAAATTATTGTCTTAGGACAAATTTTCTAGAAGTGGAATTAACTGGACAAAGGGTAGGCATATTTCAAATTTTCCTTAACATGTCTTTAAAAGCAGAGTCACTTTCTCATGGATGCATACTCATTCAGCCAGTGTTTACTGAGTGCATCCCGAAGTTGAGTATAGGGTCAGTGGCTAGGTGAAAAAAGCTGGTTTGTAAAATATGTTCTGATCTTCCCATTCCTTCTCCCCAATCACCCCCTTCTACCCCCTCAAAAAACCTCAGCACTTGAGTCCTGGCTAAGAAAGAATTCAGAGTGAAGACTCAAATATAAGCAAAAGTTTATTTAGAAAGTCACAGAGGTAAAAGAAGTGAGTCAGGGAAGAAATAAGCCAGCTAGTCTTCCCATTCTTGTAAAGAATGTTTATAAAACTACTAGAGGCCCAGTGCACAAAAATTTGTGCACTCGGTGTGGGGGGGTGTCCCTCAGCCCGGCCTGTGCCCTCTTGCAGTCTGGGACCCCTTGGGGGATGACCACCTACTGGCTTAGGCCCGCTCACCGGGGAATTGGGCCTAAGCTGGCAGTCGGACATCCTTAGTGCTGCTGAGGAGGCAGGAGAGACTCCCACCACCACTGCTGTACTGGCAGCCATCAGCCTGGCTTGTGGCTGAGCAGAACTCCCCCTGTGGGAGCACATTGACCACTAGGGGGCAGCTCTTGCATTGAGCATCTGCCCCCTAGTGGGCAGTGTGTTTCATAGTGACCAGTCATTCCCAGTCGTTCTGCTGTTAGGGTCAGTTTGCATATTTACCCTTTTATTATATAGGATAGAGGCCTGGTGCATGGGTGGGAGCCGGCTGGTTTGCCCTGAAGGGTGTCCCAGATCAGGGTGGGGGTCCCGCTGGGGTGTCTGGTCAGCCTGGGTGAGGGTCTGAGGGCCGTTTTCAGATTGGCCAAACCCCTTCAGGGTGGGGGTCCCCGCTTGTTGGGGTCCAGCCCCAGCAGATCCAGGGGTTCCCAAAGGTGTGGACGGAGTTGGCGAAGAATGAAGGACATGGAGACAGCGTTCAGTTGATCAGCAGCCTAGCCAGGTTCTCTAGCCAGGTTCTAGCCAGGATCTTCAGCCAGGTTCTGTGTCTTATTGTCTTGTTACATCTGTATTTACACCATTTGATTTTGATCCTATCAATTTCTATTCCAAAGGTTAGGGCGTTTCTTATCTCCATTTCAGGGAGTAAAGATTATGTAGCTTAAGTGTGATTGTTCATAGTTAAAGTGATTAACTACCCGCCTGGCACTTAGTTAAGGGGTTTTATTCCCTCCCTAACTTCAGGGAAAAATCCCTACCTGGGGAAACAACCTTTCTCGGAGAGGTGACCTTGGTTAAAACACATAGCGCCAAGAAGGGGAGCAAACATATTAAGAACAGTATGCCATATAGGCCAGGTCCCTTGAAACATATGCTGTGCAGATGTTTCTTCCCTGCAGCCACTGTGTCAAGCAGCAAGGATGGACCGGCTTCAGGCACCCGCTGGAGTGCCTGGCCAGCCTGGGTGAGGGGCTGATGGCTGTTTTCAGGCTGGCCAAGCCCCCCAGCAGGGACCCTCACCCCATGAGGGTGTGGTGAGCCTGGGTGAGGGGCTGATGGCTGTTTGCAGGCTGGCCACAGCCCCTAGCCACCCAAGCTCCCAGTGGAGGCTGGCTGGAAGCAGGTATCTGGGATTTATTTAGCTTCTATAATTGAAACTTTGTTGCCTTTTGCAGAGGCCACAGCCGGCCAGGGCGGGCGGGAAGCTTGGCTTCCTCCATCGCCGGGGCAACCAAGCCTCCTGCTTGCTCCAGCTCTGTGGCTGCCAGCTGCCATCTTGGTTGGGTTAATTTGCATATAGTCGCTCTGATTGGCTGGTGGGCGTGGCCTGGGGCATAGGGAAGGTACGGTCAATTTGCATGTTTCTCTTTTATTAGATAAGATATCCATAGGGGATAACCTGAAGGAATATCCATCAATATGTGAGCAGGGGTTATCTTGGGGTAGTAGGGTTATGAATGATATGTATTTTTTTTTCTTTGAGTTATCTAACTTAGAAAAAAAAGGATCATGGATTATTTACATCACTACAAAAAACAGAAACAAAAACAAAACTAACCCCAAAGGTGATGAGTCATTTCGTTGCCACTTTCTCCGTTTGCACAACCCTCCTTTTCATAACACATCTTTCTGAGTTCCAGTGATCAGCCAAAAAGACGCCTCCTAACTCCTGATTTGTCCCTTAAATCCTCTCCATTTATCTCATCCAGCTTAGTTTTCCCCCCAACACCTGCAACCACAAACCTGCCTGGGCTTATGTGAGATTTTCTGAAAAAATGTTTCTTCTCGCATAGTGTGGTCATTTGTCTGTTTCCATCTGTTTGCTTTGTAGGTGGGAACTTCCTCCTTGGTTTATCCTGCTGCCATGTTTGCCCCCCAGGTGTCTGCCAGGGGCGTGCCAGTGGCCGAATTTAACATGGAAATCACCCAAGCCACAAACAAATTCAGGTACAGGGATTACCAGGGTGGGAAATGGAAGGCATTGAGCAGGATTGGACATGTCATCTAAAGACATTTTATCTACTGTTCTGTTCTAATTAAAAAAAAAAAAAGACACTGAATTTGTGTTTTATTTGGTCTGTCGTTGCTTTTTTGGAAGAACAAAATATTGTTAACTGTAGACTAAGGTGGCTCTGTCTTTTTACAAGGGGTTTGCTGTAAGACTTTAATTTTTTCACATTTTGAAAGCTTTCTTCGATTCCTTTGGCTTTGCTTTCATTTGTCTTTTTAAGTAGATTTAGTGATGGCAGGCATTTGGATGTAGGTAAACTGAACGAATGCTGAGCAGTAAGCCTTGGAGATACCAGCCAGAACTTCTTCCCACTGCTCTCATGGTGAGGCTGCTACACACATGTCTCTGGTCTAATTGCCAAGAATATTTGTACTTGTGGCTTTGTTATGATACTGATTCTGTTTCCCACGTTTGTGTGGAAAGAGTAGATCATCATAGTATGCATTTTTAGCCCGATTCATGTCTTCACCTTTTTTTCCTTTCTTGTTTCACCCCTGCTTTTTTGTCTTCACTTTTAATTTAGTTTATATTGTATTGTTAGTCTGCTTAATTCCTTTCTAGAATGAGATACAATAGAAATAACTAAGCATAAATAAATAAAATTCTAAAACACCACTGAAACTCTTGTCATGACTTCAGTCAGTGGTTTTCAAACGTGGCTACACATATTTAAAATACTGATGAGTTGGTACCACCCATGCCATTCTGATATAATATCTTCTCCAGATATTTTTAATCAGCTACAGCCTGTGTGTGTCCTCAATACATAAGTGGTAGGAACTAGAAAGACATCCTTTAAAAAAAAATCACTCTCTATGTAAAACTTATACTCTGAAAACTACAGAATGCTATCAAAAGAAGTAAAGAAAACCTAAATATCTATAGAAGGACATCCATGTATACAGATTGGACAACTTAATATTATGAAGGTGGCAATACTCCCCAAAATGATTTGCAGATTCACCCATTCTCTATCTAAATTGCTTCTGGCTTCTTTGCTGAACTGACAAGGTGATCCTAAAATTTATGTGAAAATGCAAGGGACCCAAAAAGCCAAAACAAAGAGAAGAATAAAGTTGGAGAACTTATACTTCCCAATTACAAAACTTACTACAAGGTTACGGTTTTCAAGATAGTGGGGTACTGACATAAGGGTAGACATACAGATCAGTGGAATAGAATTGATAGTCCAGAAAAAAACCCCTCACATTTATGGCCAACTGACTTTTGAAAAAGTATGAAGAGAAAGCAGTGATGGAAAGAATAGTCTTTTTAACAAATGGTGCTGGAGCAGCTGGATAGCCACATGCAAAAGATTGGAATTGGACCCCTTTACACCATATACAAAAAATAACTCACAGGGATCAGAGGCCTAAATATAAGAGCTACAAATATATAAAATTCTTAAAAGAAAACGAAGGAGTAAATCTTTGTGACCTCGAGTTTGTCAAAACCTTTTATATGACATAAAAATCATAGGTAACATAAGAAAAAATGGATAAATTATCGCTTCTAGGCCTTTTGGCTAAGATCAAGTGTGGAAAAATGGATACCTTGGACTTTATCAAAATTAAAAACTTCTTTACTTCAATGGACACCATCAATAAAGATAAAAAGACAACCCATAGAATGGGAGAAAATATTTGCAAGTCTAATATTTGATAAGGAATGTGTATCCAGAATTTATAAAGAATTCTCACAACTCAATAATAAAAAGACAAATAATCCAATTAAAAAGTGGGTCAAAGGTTCAAATAGACAGTTTTCCAAATATATACATATGGTCAATAAAAACATTGAAAAGATGCTGAACATCATTAATCATTAGGGAAATGTAAATTAAAAGCACAAGATACCACTTAACCTCTAGTATGGGTCTGCAGAAGTCCCTTCTTATCCACAGGGGATATATTCCACGACCCTCCAGTGGATGCCTGAAATCACAGATTGCACTGAACCCTATATATACTGTATTTTCCTATACATACATAGCTATGATAAAGTTTAATTTATAAATTAGGCACAGTAAGAGATTAACAGCAATAACTAATAAAATAGAATACTTACAACAATATATTGTAATAAATGTGATGTGAGTAAAAAAGTATGCAGTTACTCAAAGAAGGGAGTTGTTACGATTCTTTGCAGCTTGTCCTGGGAAAATATGTTTCCTACTCACTCTTCAGCTGGCTTTATCTGTGTCTCTTATTCCCATCTGAGGGATGGCAGAGCTGATTTTCACTGGCCAAGCTCAGTATTACCTTTTCAATGTCAATTGTAATTCTTAGTTTTTGGTTTTTATAGATGGATGTACTGGGAGAACTGGGCTACATAACTCACGACATGAAAGGAATTTCAGATGGCATGGCCACTCAGATTTTGGACCTCCTTCCAAGTTACATGCTAAAATGCCATAGTAGTATCTTATTTCATTGTCTGTTAACTGACAGTTCTATCAGACCCTCTTTCCATTTTATTGAAAGCAAGGATGAAAAGGCCCTATTTGCATAAGGATGTGATATCCAGTCTTCAGAAAGCATTTGTTTTCTTTAATCTACACCAATACAGTGGGGCCTTGACTTATGAGTTTAATTCGTTCCGTGACGGAGCTCGTAACTCAGATTACTTGTATGTCAAATCAAAAAGTGAACGAGTGAGACACGTGATGCTGGGCTGATGTGGCGTTCACTGTGACGTTCGCTGCGCCAACTAGCGGTGGGGTATCTGAAGCTGTCTCGTAAGTATCTCGAAAAACTCATTAGTCGGGACACTCGTAAGTCAAGGCCCCACTGTATTTCAAATGTCTCTTTAGTTAGCACCTGACAGGTTTTCACACTCTGGGCTAAGGCACCATCTAAGATTTGGGGTGATTGAGGGGTGCAGCTTGCCTTTGTGAAGTGGGGGAAGGGGGAAGTGAAAAGGGACACTTGAGAGTCACTTTCTTAAGAAGGAGACCATGTGGGATTGAGGATATGGAAATGCCCTGAAAGCTCTCCATGCCTTGGAGGCTATAATTCAGTGGTTCTCAACCTTCCTAATGCCGCGACCCTTTAATACAGTTCCTCATGTTGTGGTGACCCCCAACCATAAAATTATTTTCGTTGCTACTTCATAACTGTAATTTTGCTACTATTATGAATCGTAATGTAAATATCTGATATGCAGGATGTATTTTCATTGTTCGCGACCCACAGGTTGAGAACCGCCGCATAATTCTTGGACAGTCCTCAAGGGACTATGACCACTGTGCTGGGGAGGAGCTTTCTAGCGGCCAGTGTTCAGCGCGCTGAGCGTGGCAGGAGTGGAAATGCCACTGGTCAGGGATGCCCATTAGTGGCACTTTGTGACGTGAACAGTGTTTAAGGGATAAGGCATTAACAATTTGTGTTGTATCAGAATTGGTAATATGATGAATTACATTAAGCAAATGCTTTCTTCATTTTTAATTGTGCTCAATTGGTTTTCTTATTAATAATATACTACAAAACCCTGCTATTTTTCTGCCCTAAGTATTTTCTCTTGAAGGAAGCAGAAATCATTGATTTTTCTTCCTCCTCTTTGCTTTTTCTTTTTTCTTTTTTTCTCCTTCTGACTACAAGTCAGAGCTCTTTGTGAAAGGTATGGTTTGAGAGGCTGTTGGCGCAGCTAAAATCCTGTGGTCTGTATGGTGCATGCAGTTATTTTTCTCTTGTCCTTAGTACATATGAATGCTGTTTTAATGCAGTATGTAGATACCGTAAAACTTAAAACTTTCATTATGGCCCTGGCCCTGTAGCTCAGTTGGTTAGATAGTCATCCCAGTTAACCAAGGTTTCGGGTTCAATCTCTGGTCCCAGCACATACAAGAAGCAACCAATGAATGCATGAATAAGTGGAACAACAAATCAATGTTTCTCTCCCCACTTCCCTCCCTCTCTCTCTCTCTTTCTCTCAAATAAACTAAAAACAACCTTTTATGAGTTTGGCAATATAATCATGAAATACAATTTACAATCATATCTCCCCCTGCTCTTTAAAATAAAATTCTTATTTATACCACCTAAATTCTAGGCATTTCCTTTCCTAAATTTTCTTGATCACAAGGACCAACCCATGGTGAAATGTCTATATCTTGAGTTGTCAGAAACTAGATGAAAGAAGTGGGCACAAAAGCTCATAATGCCACATTTGTGAGAATTTGGATTTTCCTCTGGGTAAAATTAAGAAATGTGTGACTTGCTGAAGTAGTATGTTGGTTTCGCTCCTAACTGCTGTATTTGTCCTTCTGTTTCAGGTTTCATTTCCAGGGGCTCTGTGGTAGGACCCTTCCTGAAGCCCTGGCTCCTCATGAAACAGAGACAGTTTCTTAATTGTCCTGGGAAGGAAGAGATTATAGTACATCTAAGTACCAGGCCACAAACAGATGACACACAATCTTGTGGATGGGAGCTGAATATTGGAAGATCTAAAAATAGTCTCTGATTTCCTGGCTGGGATCCAACCTGTTGATAAGTGGTAGGGGCCTTAGAGGTAACTGTAGCAAATATAGTTACAAGAAGTCAGAGAACTGTAAAGTTAATGCATGTTATTTGGTTTGAACTTAAACATAACATACCTCTGATCCTCTGATGTGTTTGATTGATTATTGAGAGGGGGAAATTCTAATTAGATTGTCTTAAAAATGTAATTATCCCAATCGTATTTTTGCTATTTGTCAAAGATAGTAGTAGAAAGGTAAAACATTGCTATTTCTGACTTTTATACAAATTTTGATGGAAAATAAAATCACTCTCTACAGGAGGTAATATATGGTATACAGATGTGACCCTGAGAGATATCTTTATTGAGGATTTTTTCTTTTCCGTGTTTACCTTGTTTGGCTGCTTTACCTCAAAATATGTGGGATAGCTTAGAACAGGAACTCAAGAAGGAAAAGTAGCAACAAGGTAGAAAATCAGGATGAGGCCCCCACCCCAAAATGACACAAATATATAGATTCCAAAGGTATTCACAACTGACTAGAATGTAGTACTAGCCTTTTTAAAAAACATATGTTTTTTATTGATTTCAGATAGAGGAAGGGAGAGGGAGAGAGATAGAAATATCAATTGGCTGCCTCCTGCATGTCCCCTACTGGGGGACATGTGCCCTGACCCAGAATGGAACCTGCGCCCTTCTGGTGTATGAGATGACGCGCAACCAACTGAGCCACAGGCTGGGCAGTACTAGCCTTCTTAGCAGCCAAGGAGGAAAGGGAGAGGTGATGGTTGACTATTTCTTGATATTATAAACACAGAAGCATATAGGCCCTTCAGGGTCTGCCAAGCTTTCCCAGACACTGAATTCTGAAGGGAGTGTTTTCCTTAGGACTTTACCTCAGAGTAAAGTAGCAAGAACACAGTTCTCACCTCAAACCCCACACCTCATATAGTACCCAGGGCCCGTGGAATGCCTGCTTGCTCTCAGGCAAGCATCAGAAGCCTGACTGGGAGCAGTGGCCTTTAGTAAACAGTGTAGGAAGGTCATACATAACAATGGCCCTTGGATCAGCTGGCCCCCTGGGTGATTACACAGTCTCATCACCTCAGCCCCTTACAAGAATTGATTTAATGTTACATCCATGGCTTTTGTGGGAATAGATGACAAGACACTATCATACAAAACTTTGTACTGCATTTGCAAGTCATCTATATATATATATACCCTAATATGCAAATAGACCGAATGGCAGAACAATGGAACAACAGAACAACCGGTCACTATGACGTGCACTGACCACCAGGGGGCGCACGCAGAACATGGCAGTCCTCTGCAGCAGGTGGCAGAGCATGGAACATGGCGGGCGTCGGCCACGGTGGGATGGTGGAGCAGGTGAGTGGGGTCACCAGACCAAGGCAGGGTGCCAGTTGCTGTCATTGGGGCGAGCCTCTGATGGTTACTGAAAATTCTTTGCTCCTGTGCGCCGCGGTCCCACCCCAGCACTCACACCTGCTGCCGGTGCCAGTCCCACTTGCACCTGCTGCCAGAGCCACTGCTCGCACCCACTGCCTGCACCTGGCGCCGGCCCCGATCACTCAGCACTGTCAGCGGGTGCAAGCAGCAACTGCTGGCCCTGACCACCCTCAGGGCTTCTCCACCTTCCCTTGCTCCTGAAGGGTGATCAGGGCAACAGCTGCTGCTCACACCCATTGATGGTGCCGGCCCTGCTGGCACCTGCTGCTGGCGCCGGCCCCCATAGCTCCACGCCATCAGCGGGTGCAAGCAAGGCTGGCACCATCAGCACATGGGAGCGGTGGCAGCAGAGAGGGGACTGGGGGCCGCGGTGGGAGGGACCGGCAGAGGATGGGCTGAGACCCGCCCTGGTGCCCACTGCAGCCTCTCGGCCCACAGTTCTTTTCAAGGTGCACGAATTCGTGCACTGGGCCCCTAGTACCTCTTAATAAATTCCAACGGTTCTTAGCATAAGAGGGATGTTCATGATGTTCATAACCTACAAGGTGTCTGAAGGGCCAGCCTTTAGGGTTCACTTCACACGAGTGGCTCAAGGCATATATACTGAAGGGACTTGTGATACTTATAATGTAGTTTTTGCACATAAAATACCATTGTTCTCTTTTAATAGGTTTGTTGTTGGGCTTCTCCGTTACTTTAAACATTTTCCTAGTGTTAGCAATGATGGAAATCAGTATGCTGTCTCAGTCTGATTATATTTTTAATTTCTATCTGCCCAAGGCCCAGATATTTCAGTACAGTTCTTTGCAACTCCTCTCAAATTGGGCCTTTGGTACCAGTAGCTTTGTGTGTGTGTTTTATCATTTGTGTTCACGTATTGGTTTTATTAGAGAAAATGAAAGGAGAATTGAAAAAAAAAGTGAGGTAGAAATTATTCAATTCAATTTAGTATTATTGAATGTCTACCACATAATAGGCATTAGAAATATAATTAGTAAGACGTGGGCCTTGCCCTCAAGGACTTGACAGAATGTTGGGACAACTGTCATGTAAACTATTATACAATGTAGAAACTGCAGTGATAGAAATTTGTTCAAGATTCAGAGGAAAATGTAGTTAAAGATGGGCAGGGTGGGGATGGGTAGATGTTAAGGCAGGGGTCCTCAAACTACGGCCTGCGGGCCACATGCAAATACAAATATTGTATTTGTTCCCGTTTTGTTTTTTTACTTCAAAATAAGATATGTGCAGTGTGCATAGGAATTTGTTCATATTTTTTTTTTAAACTATAGTCCGGCCCTCCAATGGTCTGAGGGACAGTGAACTGGCCCCCTGTTTAAAAAGTTTGAGGACCCCTGTTAAGGTCTTTGAAAGACCTTTAAAGGAAGTCAGCCCTGGCCTGTGTTCAGGTATAAATAGTTCCATGTGGGGGAGTGTGTGTCATAAAGGGAACAGCATGTACAAATGCACGGCAAGTGTGAAACCTTGGTTTGATGGGAGAATGATAGATGACTCACTTAGTATTGTATAATGGATGGGAGAAGATAAACACAGGTCAGGAAGGGCCATGTATATTCCAAAAAATGGCATATACTTAGGACACAGAAATAGTACTAGGGTTGCATTCACTGAGTGCAGGGTGGCATTCTTTCACTGGATTCAGGATTTGGGATGGGCTGGCCATTGTTCAAGGTCCTGGGGTTGCACCAGGGAATCAGGTGGGCTCCCTACTCTCTCACAGAGCTTACATTTAAATGGGGGCTGGGGGGCAGAGTCAGGTAATACACTGTTTGGGAAGTTGTCAGTGAAGGGCACAGAACAGAGGCATGGACAGACTGGTGGAGGAGCTGGTGGTCGGGGTAGCCTGATAAACGGGGCCAAAGTCGCCCAGCACACATTTGGTGCCGGGAATTGATTTAATCCGGTGTCTGTCAACTTCTCTGTGACAGCAGGTCCTGCCGCTATAGCGCATTTCTTCCCTTTGAAACGCCACTACTCGGGGAGCGCAGAGTGATGGGAGTCAGATCTATAAACAGCCAGCGGTTCTCAACCTGTGGGTCGCGACCCCTTTGGGGGGGGGGGTCCAACGACACTTTCACAGGGGTCGCCTAAGACCATCGGAAAACATAATTACATATTGTTTTTGTGATTAATCACTATGCTTTATGTTCAATTTGTAACAATGAAAATACATCCTGCATATCAGATATTTACATTACGATTCAGAACAGTAGCAAAATTAGTTATGAAGTAGCAACGAAAATAATTTTATAGTTGGGGGTCACAACCACCTGAGGAACTGTATTAAAGGGTCGCGGCATTAGGAAGGTTGAGAACCACTGGATTAACTGAATCCAGTTGCTGAGCACCGGATGGCGTGACCCGCGCCAGCCAGCCTAGAGGAGGCGGGGACTCAGCCAGACCTGCCGTCAGCACCCCAGCCAAGAAGGCAGCACGACGTCTGCCCGGCCTGCAAACAGCCCCGCGCCCACCTGCTCCTACGGGCGCCTCGGCAGCAGCGAGGAGGGAATCCGGCAGCCTTGAGCACTCAGCCTCTGGCCGAGCGGAAGGAAACGCCCCCAGCTTTCCTTAGGCCACGCCCTTCCGCGCCTGCGCATGCGCCTCCGCTGTGGGGCTTCAGAACGTGCAGGGAGCGACTAAACTCGGGTCGCTTGCTCTTCGCGTCACGCTCGGCTTGCGGGCTGCTACTTCCGGGTCAGAGGTAGGACGGTCCGGCACGCTGTGGGCCATGGTGCAGCTCCGACCGCG